TCACAAAAGGACAAGTATTGTATGACCTTACTTATATAAAAGACAAGAAAAGACAAATGCATAAAGAACAAAGTTTATTAGTGTTTATCAGGGGCAGGACGGAAGGGAAAAGGGGGGGTTAACGGTAATGGAAATATCGCATTGATTAAGAGTAGGGTTGGACAGCTGATTATTGTAATCGCTGTCAATAAGATGGCAAAAGTGTGACAGATATATTTATAACAACAACAGAAAAAAAACAGTAGCTGCTGAGGCTGCTTATGTACAACCAAAACCTCATGGGATTTGGTTTCTTGGTTTGGAGGTTTAGGGTGATCGTTTCATGGAACATCCCAGTTAACTGGCCTAATAACATATGTAGTGCCTCTGTTCTACCTCCTTGTTCCTTGCGGAGTGCCTGGGGTCTTAAAAGCTTACAAGTAGCCCTCCAAGGCACAATTACTCTCTATTCGCATGGAGCAACAGAGGAAGAAGCAGGGTCAGGAATATAAGGATATGGAATGTGTTGGTAATTGCCTCCATGAACACATACCTCCTTTGCCACAAGACCAGAAAAACAGGATGGTGCCTGGCTACCACTACCAAACATTTTGATCAAAGATTCTATAGAAGAATCCTAATCAAAAGGAGGAAAATGCAGACGGAATTTCAATCGTGGACTCCAGACTTACTGGAGCCATGAAGGTTAGATGAACTCTTGAAACTATTACGCTGGGATAATCTTTCAACATTAAACCAAAAATATTCCCTGAAGTCTTCTTAAAGTCAAACAATAGCTTAACTAGTAAAAAATGTCTGCCTTGAGTATTATGCTCTTTTAAGGTCTATATGTGATCAAATTGATAACAGCAACTCAAAGATTAGACAGAAACCCTGGGAGGCAGTGAGTTTATGTTAATGGGGGAGGAATAGCTCAGAAGAAGAGGAGGGTGAGAATGGTTGCACAACTTAGAGAATGTAATCAATGTCACTGAATTGTCCACGTAGAAACTGTTGACTTGGTGTATGTTTTTCTGTGTGTATTCTCAACAACAACAACAAAATAATTTTTTTAAAAGGTTGCAGGGTAAGTGTTGGTTGTCAGTTCCTCTGACTAACAAATCGTAGTCTCTAGAGCCCAGACTGCTGGCCTGGACAAGGAAAGCCCAAATTCTCTCTGTCCCAAAAAACTTTGCATGTCTAGAACTTAGACAATCTAAAATTTGCACACAATGCATGTCAATGGTTGTGGTCACGTTCATCCTAGATTTCACCGTAAACCAAACCAAACCAGTTGCCATGGAGTCAATTCTGACTCATGGTAATCCCATGAACTGCGCTCCATAGGGTTTTCATGGCTATGACCTTTCAGAAGCAGATCACAAGGCCTTTCTTCCAAGGTGCCCCTGGTGGGTTCGAACTGCCAACCTTCAGGCTAGTAGTTGATGCAAACGTTTGTGCCACCCAGGGACCTCTAAATTTCACCGTCTGTCTCCCATATCACTTATGTGGACATACAACCTACATAACCACTCCTTGTGTCCACATACACCATTCGTTCCTTTGGATGTAATCTGTGAGAATCAGCAAGGCCACTAGAAAGAAAACTGGACTTGAAGTCAGAATCCAAGTGTGAGTTCCAGCTCTTCAAGAGACCAGCTAAAGGCATAGAGTAGTGGGTAAGCATATATCTGCTTAAGCTACACGGCGCAGGTTGAAACCCTGGTTCTTCCAACTTCTAGCTATGTGACCCTAGGCCAGGTATGTGAATCTTGTGCTTTAGCCTTCTCGTTTGTAAAGTGCAATGGTATCAGTAACTACCCCATACAGCTGTGGGGATTAAGCACTTTAACACAGGTAAACGGCTCAGAACAGAGCCTTGGATATCCTAAAACAAAAAACAAACCAAACCCGTTGCCATCAAGTCAAGTCCAACTCATAGTAACCCTATATGACAGAGTGGAACTTCCTTCCCCATAGGGTTTCCAAGGAGCGGCTGGTGGATTCAAACTGCTGAACTTTTGGTTAGCAGCTATAGCTCTTAACCACCGCGCCACCAGGGCCCCTGGGTATCCTAAGCACCCAGTAAATATTGGCTACTATTATTACTAAGGTCCCTGAGTGGTGCAACTGGTTTGAGCTCAGTTACTAACCTAAAAGTTAGTGGTTTGAACCCACCCAGCAGCACTGTGGAAGAAAGGCCTGGCAATCTGCCTCCATAAAGATTACAGCCAAGAAAACCCCATGGAGCACTTCTACGCTGGAACACTGGAGGCTGCCATGAATTGGAACTGACTCGACAGCAACAGGTTTGACTTTGTTGTTATTATTATTATTGGCTGCATGAGCTTAAGGGACTCACCTAACCTCTATGAAACTCTATTTCATCTTCTGTACAAGAAGAATCACAACCTCATATGGTCTTTATGAAGACTGAATAAACTCAAATGAGATAACGTATGTGGAAGTCATTTTAAAAACAGTAGTAGACAACTCCTTCCACCAAGGAGAATTAGTTCCTTTCTGCTCTGTGCTTCTATAATACTTAAAAATACACACAGCTGGTCTAGCACTTGTCACAGAGTATCACACAGATGTACGTACCTGTCCCTCTCCCCCACCACTAGTGCATCATCCTCTGCTTCACCTCTGTATCCTCAGCACATTGGGCATACCTGGCACAGGACAGGTACTCAATAAAGATTTGTTTAAAGGACTACTGTCCAAACGAGCAAGCAGGAATCTTCAAGGCCTTTGCCAGGAATGATGGGTTATCAATTTTAGCCAAATGTCCTCAGCAGATCATACAGAAATACACTTGTTTTTCTTCAAGTGCCATATATTACGATTCCATCATTTTCAATGCAGCCAATCTTGTGTGGTTGCACGTGTTCACTCTTTTCACTTAAATATTTATTGAGCACCTATGTGCCAGGTCCGCCATATAGGGCACCACAAGTGGCAGATTCTCAGGCTAATGCAGGTCCTGCAGACTAGATATTGAAGGAACATATTTACTGTAGAATCATCCACCACTTGAGATAATAAGCTCTTTGGTTTCATTACTTCGTTAGAGTGATAGAATTTCATGGTGGGAATAAATGGTTTTATAGAAGTGGGAGTCCTTACAAAATAATAATTAAGGTTAGGGATCTGATTGTCTGGGTTCAAATCTTGGATCTGCTTTGTGCAAGGTGTAAGACTTTGGGCAGGTTACTCAGTCTTTCTAAGGTCTCACTTTCCTCATCTGCAAAATGGAGCTAGTAGGATTGAGTGAGAATTAAAAACGACAACACATGTTAATCACTAATTATCATGCCTGCCATATTGTAAGCACTCAATATGTGTTAGTTGCTAGGATTAATCCTACTTTCCCTACTCCCTCATCCCAGTGTTTGAACTTACATCATAAATGTATCCTGCAAATGGTACATGGCTTCCAGCTTCTGCTTGAACGTCAGCAGGGTTGGGGAACTGGGTAACTCCAGCGGTTGTCCACTTGGTTGCTGGGTAAATCTAATTGTTGATAAATTCTAGTGGGTTGAAATGTACCTGCTTACATCTTCCAGGTCCTAACCTAGATCTGTCACTTGAGGTCACCCAGAAGTCTAATCTTTCCTCTGCAGAACAGCCCCTCAAACTTCAGAGGGCAGCCATCTGTGCAAGCTATCACCCTCCTCCTCTCGCACCCACACAGGGCTTATATCCTTTAATCATTTCTGATACAGCACTATGTACCAGATCCCTTATTATCCTTTTTACTTGTCTTGAATAATCTTTCGTTTATCAATGTCTCTCTTAAAGGCTGAAATCCCGAATTCATAAAACAGAACAAATGCGGTCTGATCACCCTTGAGGACTAGAGACCTAGTTCCCCTCTTGAATATCATATTTTTCTATTAATGCATCAAAAGATTGATTTTTCTGGAAGCCACATCACACTGTGTTGACTCATCATCTGCTCACAATCAACAGGAGACTCTAAATCTTCCAGACGTGTGCTGTTGTGAGCCATCTCGCCCCCAGCCTGTACTTGTACAATTGAATTTTGGGATCTTTGAGTACTTTATATTTGTCCCCATTAAACTTTATATTGTTAGATGTGATTCATTATTACATATTGATAGGATCTAGGGTGGGGGTGGAAATCCTGATCGGATCATCCAACGTATTTGCTATCCTTTCTAGTCGCGTGTCATCTGTAAATTTGTTAAGCACGCTGACAATGTTATCATCTTAGTCATCAATAAAAATGCAAAAGGGCAACAGGGCTGCAAGCCAGACTTTGCAATAGATCCCTAGACGCCTGGGTGTGCAGCAGCCTCTATAAAACAACACAAAAACAGCACAACTTTTCAAAGACATCATTCACTCAACCAACAAATATTTTTTGAGTACCAGTTACTGTTCCAAGTACTAAGCAAAGAGTGGTGAACGCAACAAAATCCCTATCCTCATGAAGCTTACATCCTAGCAACAGAGAGAAGCCATAAACATATGAAAATAAAAAAAAAAATACTAAATGTTAATGAAAAAAATAAAGCAGGTAACAGGCAAAAGAAGGCTGACAGCGTGGACGCAATGGAGAGTTGTCTATAGACAGTTTGACTAAAGCAGAGTTATTTCTGAAGATGTACATCCCTGCTCATGTTCCACATTTGAGTGTGCATCTCTGTGCCCAAGGTGATCTCAGAGTGTGTAGCAAGTCTTTCTGATTCCTCAAAACCCACTTTTCTCTATGTAGAGTCACATTCGAAAAGAATGTAACTCCACGGATAGAGCAATGATGAAGGATTTAAATAGTCATAAAAAAAAGAGAAAGAGAATCTCAAAGGACATAATTCCTCAGGAAACAGCACAATGTTTGTTTGTATGCATAGGATATTCCCATATTGTGAGAACAGCCAGCCGGCCACACCTTCTGATAAAGATTCCAGAAAGGAGAATAACAAAATTATTGCTCTTCAGACATATTGTTACCATGAGATAATAGAAGGAAAAATGGAAAAGCACATACTTACCTTATTCCAATCCCCATATTGCCAGGTATGGAGTGGGTTATGAATCCTACAGTTATGGAGAGTCAGGAGGGTGGAATGCTTTGGGTAACCCCAAAACACAGCTCAGAGAGTCTGGACATTGAACTCTGGAAAAGAAGCCCATAAGGAACAGATTTGAAATCTATCTTGCTTAACTACTCTGTGATCATAGTTTCAATGTTGATAAATTCTTCTAGATACTTTCAGATCATCTTCAAATCCCTTTGATGTTAGAGGAGTTTGGCAAATTTTCATTTAGTAAAATCCTAAATACATTCCCTGATTTGAAATGTATTTTATAGTACCTCAATGCTCATTTTAACATTTAAATTCATTCATTCATTGAGCATCTATTTTGTGCCAAAGACTGTTGGTTCTGGGAATACAAAGGTGAATAGGATAAATATGCTTATAGGGACCTTACAGCTGAGTTTACCAGGGAGTACAAGATAGAGGCGGGTCTCCAGCTCTGATAAAGCAATGATGTTATGTGTGAGAGAAGTACTGAGGGCTTTAGCAGGATAGCCTAACCCAGACTCTGGCAGGATTGGAAATTAATAACTTCTACCCAGAGACTTAGGAGCTCCGGCGGCGCAATGATTAAAAGCTTGGCTGCTAACAAAAGTCGGCAGTACAAACCCACCAGCCACACCACGAGAGAAAAGACCTGGCAATCTGCTCCCGTAAAGATTACAGCCTAGGAAACCCAATGGGGCCGTTCTACTCTGTCATGTAGAGTCACTATAGAAGCAAGGATGGCGAGACTACATCTTAAGTACTTTGGACATGTTGTCAGAAGGGATCGGTTCCTGGAGAAGGACATCATGCTTGGTAAAGTAGAGGGTCAGCAAAAAAGAGGAAGACCCTCAACAAGATGGACTGACACAGTGGCTGCACCAATGGGCTCAAGCATGCAACGATTATGAGCATGGTGCAGGACCAGGCAGTGTTTCGTTCTGTGGTACATAGGGTTGCTATGAGTTGGAACCGACTCGACGGCACCTAACAACAACAACAACAACAACAACAACACGAGTCGGAATCGACTCCACAGCACACACCAACAACAACAAACATGGAGACTTACAGGGTGTGAAGGAGTTAGCCAAATAAAGAGGTGGAGGGCACAGCATATGCTGTTTTGGAGATAGCAGAATGTTCTGAGTACTGGCAGCGGTTCAGTATCGCTGAAGCAGAGAGCTTTAGCCAAAGAGTTGTCAGAGATGAGATCGGAAAGGTAAGCAGGCACCAAATCCTGCAGACAATGACCAGCCATGCTCTAGAGGAGGTGGAATCTACTGAAATTTGTGACTGATTGCATGCTGGGGTCTTGAAAAGGGAAAAGTCAAGAATGCTGTTCAGATCTGGGGCTTGGATAACTGGGTGGATAGTGACAAGTTCAGCTTTGGACATGTTTTGGTTTGTGATACCTGGGGAACATTCACAGAGCAACACTGGGCAGTGTGATCTAGACGACTGAAGATGCAGGTTTAGGAATCATCAGTACACGACAGACAACAATTTAATCCACGGGGACAAATGAGATACCATGGGAGAATGTGTAGGGTGAGAGAAAAGGATCCAGGAGAGACTCCAGTGGAAGACCAATGCTCAAAGGATGGGCAGAGAAAGGATCCCTGGGAAAAAAGAGAGTAAGAAGGTGCAGCCAGAGAGATAGAGGAAAACAAGCAGTGTGCGGTATCACAGAGGATCAGGAAAAAGCACATTTCAAGAGTAGGTTGTGGTCAACAAAGGCAAATGCCATCAAGAAGTCAAGCAAGAAAAAGGCTGAGAAGCATCCACAGGGTGAACACCAAGAGCATATTTGATTGGTTGGCAAGAGCAGTGTCTGTGGAGGAGAAGACAGGTCACAGGGAGTTGAGACTAGATGGAACCAATGAAAGCAGACATCAGTTTCAAAAAGTTTGCCTTAGAAGTGGAAGACATAATCACTAGATTTTCTTCCCAACGGTAGGCAAATTGGAGCTTCATGAAGGCACACCTTAAAGGACCTCGAGGATCCCTCATCACCTTTACATTTGCCCCATCAATTACATGGCAATGCTCTTGGTAGGCATGGCTGGTGTGTTGGACAATAGTTGCTGGATTTGGCCATAACTGGAGAGCAAACCAAGTCTGCCTTCATGCTTTCTACCTCTCCTTCTGCACCCACCCCTGTCACTAGGCCTTGAAGTCCATGCATGCTTCCTGGGTACCCAAGGCCTACTGTGGTGCATGAATGCCCACCTGACGTCTGTCACCTCACCTGGCTTCAATCAGAAGGCACACATGCCCTCCGCCCACCAATGAAATGACCTACATAGGGATAATTCTGGCCAGACACAGTTGCCCCACTGTCATTAGTTCTCACCTACTGTCGTGGCTCATGTGTTAGGACCAGTTAGAGGGAGGGAAAGGAGTTTGGTCACCTTGGAGTCTGGAGTAGGCAGCTGGCCCCCAGCTGGCCAGGCAGCTATCTAAGCAGGGAGCCTCTCCAATACCAAAATAAATGGGTCAGGTGGAAAACAGATGATCACAACCGCAAGCAATGCTGATGGTTGGTCCAAGGGAATAAAAGTGAGCAAGACATCCTGGATGAACACTTTAAGGGGTTTGGGTGAGAGGGGAGGGGCAGGAGGCAGTCTAAGAACAGGGTGTAACAAGGAACTAGAAATGGGCTGAAGACAATATACAGAGGCAGAAGCCAAACACAATTATGCTGGAAAGGTGGGTGCATCACCACCACCTGGCTATTGTCCTGGGTCCTCCCAGGGTGCTGTTTCATTATATGAAGTAAAGTTTCTGACTATCACAACAATTCCTGAAACCTGATGTCCACAACGCTTCCCTACCATCGTAACCCTGTATTCCACTGAGAAGGTAGGACATCGTGGCCTGGGTAGTACCAATGGGGAGCACAGAGGCATTTGCAGTAACTATCTTGAAGTACAACACTGTCAGCAATAGGATACTATCCACACACCTACAAGGAAGACCAGTTAATATGACTATTATTCAAATTTACACACCAACCACTAAGGCCAAAGGTGAAGATTGAAGATTTTTACAAACTCCTGCAGTCTGAAATTGATCAAACATGCAATCAAGATGCATTGATAATTACTGGCATTGGAATATGAAAGTTAGAGACAAAGAAGAAGGATTGGTAGTTGGAAAATACTGCCTTAGTGATAGAAATAATGCCAGAGATCACATGACAGAATTCTGTAAGACCAACGACTTCTTCATTGTAAATACCTTTTTTCAACAACATTAATGGTATCTATACACAGGGACCTTGCCAGACAGAATACACAGTAAACAAATTTGTGTATTTGTGGAAAGAGAGGATGGAGAAGCTCAATATCATCAGTCAGAACAAGGCCAGGGACCAGCTGTGGAACAGACGATCCACTGCTCATATGCAAGTTCAAGTCGAAGTTGAAGAAAATCAGAACAAGCCCATGAGAGCCAAAGTATGATCTTGAGTATATTCCACCTGAATTTAGAGACCATCTCAAGAATTGAACACTAATTGAACATTGAACATTAATGACCAAAGACCAGATGATTTATGAGATGGCATCAAAGACATCATACATGAAGAAAGCAAAAGGTCATTAAAAAGACAGGAAAGAAAGAAAAGACCAAAATGGATGTCAGAAGAGACTCTGAAACTTGCTCTTGAATAAGTATGGTAGCTAAAACGAAAGGAAGAAATGAAGTCAAAGAGCTGAACAGGAGATTTCAAAGGGTGGCTCAAGAAAACGAAGTAAAGTACTATAAGAAACGTGCAAAGACCTGGAGTTAGAAAAACAAAAGGGAAGAACACATTAGGCATTTCACAAGCTGAAAGAACTGAAGAAAAACATTTAAGCCTCGAGTTGCAATAGTGAAGGAGTCTATGGGCAAAAAATTGAACAACACAGGAAGCATCAAAAGAACATGGAAGGAATATACAGTCACTGTACCAAAAAGAACTGATCGATGTTCAACCATTTCAGTAATGATCAAGAATATGATCAAGAATCAATGGTACTAAAGGAAGAGGTCCAAGCTGCACTGAAGGTATTAGCGAAAAACAAGGCTCCAGGAATTGACAGAATACCAACTGAGATGTTTCAACAAACAGATGCAGTGCTGGAGGCACTCACTCATCTATGCCAAGAAATTTGGAAAATAGCTACCTGGTCAACTAACTGGAAGAGCCCATATTTGTACCCATTCCAAAGAAAGGAGATCCAACAGAATACAGAAATTATCGAATAATATCATTCATGTCACACACAAGTAAAATTCTGCTGAAGATCATTCAAAAGCTGTTGCAGCAGTACATCAACAGGGAACTGCCAGAAATTCAAGCCAGATTCAGAAGAGGGCATTCAACAAGGGATATCATTGCCGATGTCAGATGGATCCTGGCTGAAAGCAGAGAATATGAGAAAGATGTTTACCTGTGTTTATTGACTATGCAAAGGCATTTTACTGTGTGGATCATAACAAATTATGGATAACACTATGAAGAGTGGGAATTCCAGAACACTTAATTGTGCTCATGAGGAACCTGTATGTAGACCCAGAGGCAGTCATTCAAACAGAACAAGGGATACTGTGTGGTCTAAAGTCAAGAAAGGTGTGCGTCAGGGTTGTATTCTTATTCAACCCGTATGCTGAGCAAATAATCAGAGAAGCTGGACTATATGAAGAAGAACGGGGCATCAGAATTGGAGGAAGACTCATTAACAACCTGCACTATGCAGATGACACAATTTTGCTTGCTGCAAGTGAAGAGGACTTGAAGCACTTGCTGATGAAGATCAAAGACCACAGCCTTTAGTATGGATTACACCTCAACATAAGGAAAACAAAAATCCTCACAACTGGACCAATAAGCAACATCATGATAAATGGAGAAACTATTGAATTTGTCAAGGATTTCACTTTGCTTGGATCTACAATCAACACCCAAATCTGCTGCAAAAGACCTCTTTAAAGTGTTAAAAAGCAAAGATGTCACTTTAAGGACTAAGTGTTTTCAAGCCGTGGTGCTTTCAATTGCCTCATATGCATGTGAAAGCTGGACAATGAATAAGGAAGACCAAAGAAG